TTTAGACTGAGAGTAGCCAGCAAAACACAAAGATTGAGAAAATTTAGCGAACCAATTGCGACTCGCTTGTTTGAGCCCATATAAAGACTTGTTCAATCGATAAACTCGATTCTCCCCCTACTTGTGATAACCTGAAGGAATTTTCATATATACTTCTTCATTTAAGTCTCCATGAAGAAAAACATTATTAACATCATGAAGAAAAACATTATTAACATCAAGTTGATGTAGAGACCACCCTTTGATGGAAGCAATGGCAAAAAAACACCGGACAGTGATCATTTTCATTATAATCAATGCCTTCAGTTTGTGTAAATCCTTTGGCTACAAGGCGAGCTTTATAACTCTTAATAGTCCCATGTGACTGATACTTGATTTTGTAAACCCATTTACAACCAACGGGTTTTTTGTGAGGAGGCAGAGTTATAACTTTCCAAGTGTCATTTTCCTCCAACGCTTTAATTTCTGCCTCTATAGCCTCTCGCCATTATGGGATCTTAACAGCTTGTGAGAAAGATGTTGGCTCAATACATGAATCAAGAGAATTAAGAAAAGCAGAATGTGAAGAAGACAAACGATTATATGAAAGAACTTGTGAAAGAGGATAAAATGTACCTGACCCATGAGAAGTTGATTGTTGCGGGTAATCTGTTGAGGTCACATTGTTACAAATATAATCCTGTAAGTAGAGTGGGGTTCGGCGATCATGACTTGGTCGTGTTTGGCAAAGAGAGTAAAGATCATTTTCATGGTGTGAGGAAGGTTCCTCGAGTTTTGGTTCATTTATATTGGGAAAAACTGATAAAGGAACTGAGTTGTCAGAACAAGAAGGAAATGGTGCAATATTGTCAGAGGATGGATTAATGACACTATTATCTGAAATTGGCAAAGGCATAACTGGCCTATCAAAAGGATGAAATTGAGCATCTCAATATGAAAAAATATTTTCATAAAACAGAACGTCTCTAGAGATATAAATTTTTTTAGTGGTTATGTCAAATATTTTATATCCCTTTTGACCAAAAGGATATCCCACAAAAATACCAGGTTTGGAGCGTAAATCAAATTTATGTCTTTGTGGGGAGAGGTTACGACCAAAGCAGAGGCAACCGAAAACTCGAAGATGAGAGTACAAAGGAGGTGCTCCTAGTAATACCTCATGTGGAGTTTTTCCATTTAAAACTGATGAAGGAATCTTGTTTATTAAATAGCTAGTTGTAAGAACACACTCACCCCCAAAAGAAAGAGGTAAATTGCTTTGGAAATGAAGAGCACGCGCCACATTAAAAATAACCAAGTGCAACGACTAAAATTATCAATAATAGTCAAAAAAAATAATGTGCACCTGAAATACTAGGAATAGGAAAAGCACCCCAAATATCACAATGAACCAATTCAAAAGGAAATTTTGTTTTTGTATTACTTAACAGAAAATGAGTTCTTACATGTTTTGCCAAAGGACATACATCACAGAGTGATTTGTTGGAAACAGTGACAGAAGAGTCTAAAGCAGAAATTGAAACTAAACGATCATTTGAAGGGTGTCCCAATCGCTAATGCCAAACATCAAAGGTGGGTTTCACTATTGCATAAAGACTACTAGGTTGGGATGGATAATAAAGACCATTCCAGCAGTTACCCACTCCAATCGTTCTCCTCAAAGATAGGTCCTGAAAAATGCAACGGTCAGGAAGAAAAATAATAGCACAATTAAGAGATTTTGTTATTTGAGAAATGGACATCAAATTGAACTTAAATGAGGGAACAAGGAAAACATTATTTAAACGAAAGGATGGATTAATTGAAACACTGCCAGTTTGCATAACTGGCAAATTAGAGCCATCAGGTAATTGTACCCGAGACAAAGATGTATTTTTAGTAATAGACTGGAAAAAATGTGGCGAGGAACACATGTGATTTGTTGCCCCACTATCAATAATCCAAGAATTATTAAAAAAAGATGTGAGGGCAATACCTGCTAAATTTGTAGAATGGTCATGTCTACCTTGTTGCAAAATTGCCAAAATTTGATTGTATTGCTCCTGCGAAATTGATGGTGATGCTAAAGATGGAGAACTGTTGCTTTGAGGCGCTAGTGTGTTGTTGCTTTGAGGTGCTAGTGTGATAACAGGAGATGGAGATACAAAGAGAGGCTGTGATTGGTCAGATGAAGCAGTAAACCCATGTGCCAAAGGACGAGATGTCCCAGTAGGACCATCATTAGAACGTGGCGGGAACCCATGTAATTTGTAGCAAGTTGCAATAGTATGACCGTCACGACCACAGTGGTCACAATGTGATCTTGCCCTTGACCCCCCACGATTGTTACCACGACCAGTACCTCTGCCACAACTGTAGGTTGAGGTAGTGGGACGTGTAATCTGATTTGGTGCAGGAGATGTGGCTATAGTTGAAGCATCATGGAGATTGAGAGTGTGTAATGAAAGGGAACGTTGTTTTTCTTCCTGTAGTAACAATAAATAAATCTTATTTACTGACGGTAATGGTTCCCGTAATAAGATTTGACTCCAAAATTGTGCATATGATTCATGGAGTCCCTGCAAAAATTGCATCGCATGATCTTGAAGAAGATAATCATTTATGGCTTTGGCTGCACCACATGAGCAAGGAGGAATCATCACATACGATGCTAGTTCATCCCAAAGAGCCTTCAATTGAGTATAATAAGGAGTCGCAGAAAGATTATTTTGTTTGCATTCAGAGATACCCCGCTTGATTTCAAAAATCTTAGTACTATTAGGCTGAGAAAAACGCTCCTTCAAATCACTCCAAATTTCTTGAGCAGACTCGGAATAAATAATACTCGCAGCAAGTTTCGGCACCATCGAGTGAAGTATCCAGGAGATTACCATATCATTCACTCGAATCCATTGCTCATAGGTTGAAGAAGATGGGTCTGGCATTGGAATTATACCATCAACAAATCCAAGCTTATTTTTTGCGCGTAAGGCCGTACGCATCGCGTGGAACCATGTATTATAGTTGTCTCCATTAAGAAGAAGAGAGACGAGAACAGCAGTAGGATTGTCTGAATGGTGTAAAACATAAGGGTTTTGAAAAGGGTCACTAATATGAGAAGAAGAAGTGGCCGTAACTTGAGAAGAAGCTCGTTGCTGCTCCCCAAAATTTGAAGGAATCGTTGCTATGAGGGAAAACGTGATTTTGAAAAGAAAAAACACCTAATGCTCTGATACCATATTAGAAAAGGGGTTAAGTGCAAAAAAACCTCCCTGATATATAGACTTTATGTAAAACTAGTCCCTACTTTTTGAAAATGTGAATGCAAGTCCAAAAAATTCAAAAAAGGTACAATTAATCCCTCTGACCACCTTTTTACAAAAAGTAAGACTGAAAATCCCATTTTGCCCCTCACCCATTTGTGCATATTTCAATCTTGATACCTACAAGAAATCTCTCTCTCCTCAAATTCCGTATGCAAGTAATTTTTTTAAAATTTTTTTTATCATTTCAATAGACACATAAAATAAAATTATAATTATAATTATAATTATAATTATAATTTTTTTTTTTTGGAATTTTGGAGTTTTCAACGTCTTGGCATCGAGAAATTGAGCATTGAAGATCTCTGGAGGTTGGAGTGGCAAATGGTGGAGGTGAAGATCAAACAGTGGATACGTGCAGCCAAGTTTTGTGTTCAAAATTTCTTTCCCAAAGAGAAGCAACTCTGTGAGCAAATCTTTGCAGGTCTGAAACTGTTCTAGTTGATTTCTGATTTATAATTAAAATTATGTTAGGGTAAACACAATGGGATACCCTAAATCGTGTGATTATGTGTGGGGACGGTGGTGGCGGTTTTGCAAAGCGATGATGGTGGCCGGTTGTGCGTATATTGTTGATGGGTTTAGAGAGGAGAGAGATGGTTGCGGGCAGTGGGAGAAGGTGGGAGGAGGCGGCAGCCATGGTGGGGAGGAGGGAGAGATTGAGCAGCAACAGACCTGGTGGATTAAGAAGTTGGTAATTTCCTATTGTAGGTATGGCTTGACGCCTCTGAACAACCATTCTACGGCCATGAAAATCGCTGATGGATGATGATGTTAGGGTTATCGGTTTAAAAGCTTCAGAGAGGAAGGAAACCCAATTCTAGAAGAAACAGGGGCCGATTTGCAATCTAACTTTCTGGGAAATTGTTGAAGTTGATGACATAAACAATAGCCTGGTGAAAACACATTAGCCTCTGCCATGATTTTCCACTTCCGCAAATCATAAACCCTTCAATAAATCCGTACCTTTCTTTCAAATTTCAGATAAAATCCTCCAAATTTACAAAAAAAAAAAAAAAAAAACATAAGAACACCTAGAAAACCAGAGAAATTTTGAAATCTGATTCGCAGTCTTAAATTAGAAAATTCAAAGAAGAGAGAGAGATTGGAAAAAGAAGTATCCGGCGGTGGCGCCGAAGGCTTCGAATAGGGAAGCCTCCGTTTCCACCACCATCCGAACCAGCCGAGCTCACCGCCGTTCCTTCATTGCCGGCCGATCCTCATCGCCGTCCCCATGGCTGCAGTACTTTCCCCTTCGCAGAGACATAATTCATGTGCCATGTCATCAATTTAGTCAACCTCATTTTTAAGAAATATGGGACTTTGACTCAGCCCCTTAGTAAATATGGAACCCTAACCCTATTTATATGTAATAATCCCTATATATTATATAATATAGGGTAAAGTGCATTAAACCCCCCTGAACTATGGGGGTTTTGCAACTAACCCCCCTGAATTACAAAAACCCCCCCTGAACTTTCACTTGTTTGCAATTTGCCCACTCAGGCCACCGAAAAAGATAAAAGACAATTTTACCCTTATTCAAAACTACATCGTTTCTATCTCCCCCTCTCTATTTCTCTATGTGTGTATATATTATAAATATATGTATATAATATATATATATACATATATATATAGACACAGAGAGGAGAGGGAGCACGTCGATCTCGCCGGCCAGTTATAACGCCACCTCGTTCATGTGTCGTTGACCAGCGACACCGACGGCAAGCAGCCGTTGTCCTCGTCGGCGTTCCAGATCACCAACATGTCCCATGTGTCCCGCGAAGAATAGAAGTAAAGGCGGCAAAGACCCGGGCGGCGGAGATGGACCATCACCGCCGAGTCCTCACCGGACGACCTTTTCATAGCCGACCTCTTCACGTCGGCAAACGACGAAAGCAGATCTGACATCCCAGTGTTGTCGAAGGTGTAGGCGGTGATGGACTCCCGTAACTCCTTGTGCCACACCCAGCGCGTCCTCACCGCCTCACCAGTAACTTCTTGTGCCGCTGTTCTCTGTCCTCGTCGGCGCCGTTTCTGGGTTCGACGGTAACAAAAAACCGTACCAGTTACAGAGTTCGTGATTTGGGGATTTTTTTTTTATTTTTTATTTTATTTTTGGTTGAATATTATTTGGGGAAATTTGGCAAAACCATGATCAATTTCATTTTTTTGGCTAGGGTGGATTGGTTGGGCAGAATGGTGACCGTGGAGGTTTTGGGTGGAGAGCGGTGATGGTTTTAATTGGTTGAAGGTGGTGGTGGACTGGTGGTTATGGGTTGGAGGCTTCGGATGGTGGAAAGGATGAAGGTGGCCTCGGCGGTTTCGGCTTTGGATGATGTCGGCTGTGATGCAACGACGGTGATGGACCGGCGAGGGCTCGGCCGTGAGGAAGAAATGCGACGGTGGAGTGGACCGGCCGGCAAGGATGAATCCAAGCTTCTTGTTCTGTAAATGGGTTTTGATTTTTTAATTTTTTTGTAATTTTCTTGTTCTGTAAATGGGATGAATCCAAGCTTCTATGCCTTGGATCGTTTCAATTCTAATGCCAAAGGACCGGTCACGAGCATCTGTAAAACATACAACATATATATATATATATATATATATATATAGATGTATAAGACACTAAAGGACGAACTGTCTAAGCAATGACGTTGCATAGGAAAATGTATATTTAATCATTGAGCCATGTTATGTGGTTGTATCTATTAATTCCTGATGGATAGATTCTGACGCCACTAAACATGTTTGCAATTCGTTGCAAGGATTTTAGGAATCCAGAAGCCTCGATGATATGGATATATATTTGTCTTTTAACCTGATGCCAAGGTTGCAGCTAAGTCAGTGGGAGTATTACATCTGAAATTAGAGAGTATGAGGATATGAGTATTTGAGAACTATCTTTATACACAGATGTTAAACGCAATCTAATTCTTGTTTTACTTTTGGTTTATAAAAACTGTTTTATTATTTTGTAAAACTGGTTTTATAAAATTGAATAGATGTGCGATTGCTTCTAGTGTATTGAAAGATTGTTAATATACTATAACCAAAAGCTCTTAATATTTACAAGATGTAAAAATTAATGTTGCATCTTCTAGAATGAATGTTAAAAGAAAATTTGTTATTCCTAACTCATTGTATTTTTAGTATCTATTTTGGGGTTATAATAAGTCAAAATGAGATTCAAAGATTGGTCAAAGAAGGTTTATTACCTAGTGAGGCAGATGAGCCTAAACCAAACTTGTGAATCCTGTTTTGAAGGATAGATAACTCTAAGGGCTTAATCAGCCAAATGAAATAGACATAAAGGACAATTGGAGTCGGTACACACGGACACGTGTGGTCATATGAACATCCAAGCAAGATTACTCACGTTTTGGATAAACTTATCTGATGCGACACAAGTCTTAAATTTTTGGTATATTCCGAAAGTGTCAAGACTAACGTGGAGCACAGATTAGGTAAACTTATCAAAACACTTTGATCTGATCATGGATATGAGTATTTCTTGGGATAGTGCAAAGAATATATAGTCAATGAGGGTGTTGTGTACCAGTTTTCCGCAGTTGACGCTAAATGGATTTAGGTGTCAAATGGGAATAACAGAATTCCGCTTAACATGGTTAGATCTATGAACAGTTATGCTACATTATCTCTTTCATTTAAGAGTTTAGCGTTAATGATATCGATGCGCATTATGAACTGTATTCCATCTTAGTCTGTCTCAAGGATATCTTTTGAGCTGTGTTTTTTACTAAATCTTAGTTTGAATCACATGCACATATGGGGTAGTCTTGCACATGTGCGCTTGATATGGACAAGTAAGTTGGAAACAGATCATACACATGATAGATTTGATAGCTACTCTAAAGTCACTAGGATGGATTATGTTATAATCTCAATGATAAAAGTTGATTGTTTAAACTCACTGTTTATCTATAGGAGGATCATATTATAAATCACATACCTGGTAGCATAATGTTAGGGAATATGGTATTAGTACTAGTTGTACCACAAGATGAACACATTTATTATAGAGATTTAGAATTATAGATGAATTCCCTATTGATGCGTCAGCATCATCTTGTACACAGATTCCTGCATTAGTACATTGATTTAGTGGGAGGATTATCATCCAATCCGATAGAATCATGTTTTTAGGTGATACTTTTATGGACATCCCTGTCAAACATGAGTTGGACCCAGTAAGCTACACGGAAACGTGAATCGATATGGATACAGGTCGTTTTGGCGAGTTGTTATGAAATCAGAGTTGGAATCTATGTATTCTAATAAATTCTGGAATCTTGTAGAACTTTCTAGTAGGGTAATACCTATGGAAGGTAAGTTAGTCTACAAAAGGATACTAGAAGATTTCTTAGGAATTAAATCATGAGTGTATAAGGGAATGTCATTATTTTTCTAATTCTTTATATATTGATGACATCCTACTCATTTAGGATGACATGGAAGTTTTGTCATCATTAAAGAGGTAGTTGTTCAATTATTTTGAAATAAAAGATTTTCAAGGTGTAAGCTATATTCCTAGGATCAAGCTTTTGCAAGATCAAGTTAAAAGGAAAATAGGCTTCTCTTAATAATCTTACATTGATAAAGTTTTGACCAGATTTGGTATGCAAAACTCAAAGAATGAGTTCTTGCGTTATTGACATGGATTACTTTCTCTAGTAAGTAGTTTTCCAAGACTAGCAGATGAGATTGAGCAAATGAGACTGTAACTATATGCTTTGGCATATAGGAGTCTCATATATGCCATGGTCTATACCAAATAGGACATCCGCTACATTGTAGTGATAGTCAGAATATATCAGTCCAATCTTGGACTTGATAACTGGTCTGTTGTAAAAAATATCATTAAGTACCTTAGGAGAACCAATGATCTCATACTCATTTATGGATGTGATGATGTCGTTCCAGTCAGGTATAATAGTTCTGTTTTCAAATCAGAAGTAGATACTATGAGGTTCATGACTTAGTGTATGTTCACTTAATGGATAAGAAATCAGTTAGTAGATTGTTAAGCAGATTTCAACTGCTAACTCAAACCTGAAGGTGGAGTACATTGCAGCCTTAAAGGCAACAAAGGAAGCCTTTTGGTTTGATCTCACTGATTTAGAGGTTGCGAAGCATACTAGCCTATTATCGAGCTATATTATGACTATAGTGCAGAAGTAGTCCAAACCAATGACTCAAGGTTCCATAGAGGAACAAGGTACATTGAGAGGAAAGTATCATGTCCTACATGATACTGTTCGGCAAGAAAATGTACTCATGGCTAGAACATTGCATTGGAACACAACTTTGTTGATCCATTAACAAAGGTGTCATAGATCAATAGTTTTTATCATCATCTGGATAACATTGGAGTTAGATGCAATTTGAATTGGCTATGAGGGCAAGTGGGAGTTGTTGGGATTTATATGCCCTAGCATAGAAAATTCCTATTTGGATTATAGTGACATATGTTCCTGACGTTTCTGAAATATTTATGCTTGATACAATTAGTGAATTCAATGTATTATGTTTCGATTCATTATAGAATTGATAGTGCCCACTTGATTACAAGAGATATTTATATATGTATGTGATGGCGATCAATACATGAATATAAATAGTAATCATAAATTGTTCATAGTCGGTAATTATGGATGGACTCATAATTAATTAAGACTTAAACTGGATCCGCGTTAGGTTAAGATATATTGCGAGAGCCGTCGTATGTAATTGCTCCCTATCACTGTCATGGCTTTTGACTCTTAAGCATGAAAAAAGTATAAACTCTTTTATTAATTAATAATTACTTTGATTTGTTCGGCGGATACTTCGGGATCCTTAAACCGGCACTTTGGGTAATTATATAATTAATAGTTAGAGGGTTATATTTTCAATATTTGCATCATTACTACTTGAATTTATTTTGTATTGATTATGGTTGATCACAAAGTAAATTCGAAGGCCTTCGTGTGTTTTTAGACAAAATGATTTATTATATATTTATTTATTTAAATTATTATTTTTGTCAAACAAATGTTTTATTGTGATCGAGCCAGACATAATCAAAGGTACCAAAATAAATATATTAATTAAGTAGTCGGATTGATGGCTTTATTTATCCGATAACTAATTATGCATAGAGAGGTCAAAGTGTAACATTGACTTAGAGGTTATTTATTATTTAATTGGAGTTTAATTAATTTCTTTTAGTGGAGTAGAAATTAATTTATGAATTAATTGAATTGGGTCCATAGACCGGGCCAATTATTAATTCATTATAGCCAATAAAATAATAAGCCCAAAGAATTCTCACTCATAGCCCAACTTGATATTGGAATCCTATTAGATTTGAGACATGTGAATTAGAGATTGAGAAGGATTTGTTGTTTCCTTTTCTTTATCTTTATGTTGCTTGTAAATATAGATAGTCTATGTATATTTTAGGGGTGATTTTTATGAGAAGGAAAAAGGAATATATTTTCTCTCTCTAGAAAATTAGGGTTTATGTTCTCATCTAATGGAGGCTCCCACAAGCCTAGTTTTTCAAGGTCATTCATGGAGGCTTATGAGTGATTCCTAAAGGCAAAGCAATTACCAAGAAGATGGAGATCCAAGGAGAAGATATCTTGCTAAGGGATTTACAATAAGTGAAAACATTCACTTTAGAGGAAAGATTTAAAGGTTTACTCAGACCTTTGATGTAAGTATTCAATCTGTTAATTGAATGATACATCATATTTTATTTTTGCATAAAACTTGTCTCTATGTGATGAATCAAGATCTATGAACAATAATCCCTCAAAAAGTTTTTTAAAACTAGCACGTTTCCTAACAACATTAACACTGTTGTAATCGAAGAAAATAGAGATAATGCATCTGATATCACGAATATCATAAAGGGGTTATGCCATAGGAACCTGGGGTTCCCTGCATGTGCTGACTTGGAGTTCCTTGAATTCTCTGATTCATTATAATTTCCACCTGGTAATGTGAAGGCTGCGGCAAACATAACAGTGACAATGAGTGTGGCCACAATTGTACAGGACGTTGCTGTATCTCTCATCCATTGTTCTCCTTCTTTGACTAATTTAGAATACCATGTGGTGAACAAAGCATGAGGAGTTTCTCCATTATCATTGGGACGAATTCTATATGAAGATGGTACCATCCCCTCCACCTCCTATCATGGTTAATGAGAAAGACTAATTAATTTAATAAAGAAAGTCCTGAGTAATTAAATACTAATTTTAATCTAGCTATATAAAAAGTTATTTGGATGATATAGAAACATAAGGTGAAGAGATTAGCACCTTGTACCATTGTAGTTCTCTCTGCACTTTCATAGCCGCACCTGGAGCTTTATTAAATTCCTTCCAAAATTGTTGTTCTCCTTGATAAAGCATTTTTGAAGCTTCATCTGGAACTCCTTTGGTTTTAGCCGTTATGATGGGGAATGCAGCTATATGTAGCATGTTGTTACTTCCTACCAGAATTCCAATGATTTTGTTTCTCTGTTCAACACTTAAACCATAAATGAGGTTCCATATTTTCTCCTGACGGAAAGCAAGTGCAATGTGAAATATGGTTCCGCTTTCCTTATTCCCCCATAACAAAGCAGGATTCGACCTCAGGACTTCCTCAACAAATTCAACATTCCCACATTTGATGGCTCTTTTTATGGCCTCAAAGTATACTCCAACATATTTAGAATCAAAAGTCCATTTGGGGTAACACATAAAGCCGAGTAATTTATAGGCTTTCTCGTTTTCCTCCTTCATATCAAATTTTAATATATTACCTGTAACTCCTAAGTAGAAATACCAAAAATACAAATAGTTTAAATAAAGAAAAGTATTAGGAAAGCGTGCAGTAGTAACCTTATGAATAATAGTACTCTGCGTACCTATTAGTAATGCAGGAACAATTAGAACACATAACATTAATCCTTTCAGAAAACGGAGCACTGTTATATATAAGAAAAACAGCAATTGAATTGTCTCAGTAGAACATATACAATGGTTTTGAAAAATTAGTTTAAAAATAATTCCTAAAACATATAATATAATATACAATGGTTTTGAACCCTGCAGGCATCCTCCCCATATTGGCCCTCATCTTAAGTTACCAGATGTTATAGACACTGGCCGTCATAAATCACAAGTACAATGCATGGAAACCAACATAGAGGTGCAAATAAGATAATTCTGTCAAAAACTAAATAGAAAAACTTTATGATAAATTTGTTCAAAAAAAATTTGTTACGAGAAAAAAAAATTTTGTTTGAACAAATTTGATGAGATTTGATTTTTTTTAATAACTTCTAATCAAAGTCATATGAAATGACTTTTATACACCTATGATGGATTTTTTTGGTCCATTTTTTTTCAATGTTCAACCAACTTCAGGGGGTAATTTGCAGGTTTCAGTAAATACAAAAAGGGTTATTTATTTATTTATTGGTAAAACAACATTTTAATTATAAGGTTATCTGTATAAATTTAATAGCTGAAGGGTATTTTCTGATATAATTTTGGTTATCGATGTTGGTTTGTCCAATGGATAGACATGGCAAAATTTCCTTTTCACAAAGGATACAAGTACATGGGAAGAGAGATCAAGAAATTACCCGAGGGAGAGGTACGCACAGCACGAACCATCCAGTCGCCGAGGACATCAGCACCTACTAAAAAGAAAAAGGATGATATATCATTTAACAGAAACACATTTGATCAAAGTTATAGTATTATTACTCTTTTTTTTTTTCAAAATAAAGAGTTCATTAACAAGAAACAAACTAATACAAGATATCAAAGGAACATACTCCCAGAGCTAAAAGAAGCCCAGTGCCACCAATCCCAGATGAGAAAAGAAAAAGTAAAAAAGTGAAACAAATGGAAATAGAATCGAAACAACAGAGAACACACTAATATTTAAAGCAAATTTCCTAGAAATACAAACAGGTAGGAGATAATTCCATATAAAGAGAGATGGAATTGAGAGCTATAAATGACTGCAAGTCAAACAAACAGCAGGACAAATAAGTCCAAGTAAGGCCTGTGCTCAATAATTGACGGACTCCAATGGAAGACAGAGATAAAAGCAGAGGACTTTGAAATTTAATGATTGCAGAACAATGTAATTGGGATAATTCCCGGTTAAGTTGCAAATGTTTGTTGCTATCAGTAGAAAGAACTGTTGGGTTTATTTCCTTCTATATGGAGGAAAGCCCAAGTGGGTTTTATTAAAAGCAAGCCCAGCCTTTAGGGAAAAGAAAACCCTAAGGAAGTTAGTATAAAAAGAGAGAGAGGTTAGCCGCAAGTGAAAGTACAAAGAGAAGAAAAATGCAGGTTTTTCCATTCTGCCAAGGTTTGACCAAACATCCGGTCCCGCTTCGTACATGGTTCAATCAAGCTTAAATTTAGAGGAGAGGTTTAAGACTCAGTGACGCACAATCTGAACGGTGGAGATCAGATTTTGAGCTCAGGAACAGTGATTCGTGCAGTAACTGGGTTTTGGTAGAAAAACGCAAGTTTTTTTAGTCTGCCTAGATTTCATCAAACATCCGATTCCGCTTCGTCCGTGGTTTGATCGAGCTGAAATTTGGAGGAGAGGTTCACGACTCAATGAGTTAAAATCTGAAAGGTGAAGATCAGATTTTGAGCTCGGGAACAGTGATTCGTGCCCGTGAACAGTAACCGGGTTTTAATATTTTTCTCTCCAATTCTCTTTGTTTTTTGCCAAGATTGTTGCTATCTTGATGAGATGTTTTGTAGCCTCTAATTGCGATTAGAGAAGACTTTGTGTACCCATTATTTGGTTGATAGTGGAGATTTTAACTGGACTAGGTCCCGTGGTTTTTCTTCCTCACACTGGGGAAGTTTTCCACGTAAAAAATTGCTTGTGTTCTTGTGGCTTTATATGATTGATTGTTTCTCTATTATTTTCAGCACATATAAAAGTAGAGATATACTATCTTTGCTTGCATATAGGAACAAGAATTATTCCGCTGTGTTTGTTTATTGTTATCTCTCCCAACAAAGTGGTATCAGAGCTTTAGGTTGACAGATTGCCAAGTTGGCAGTTTGAGTTATGGAAGCAAATACGAGTAGAATGATTAATTTAAATGGTTCAAATTATCACATATGGAAAGGAAAAATAGAGGATCTTCCTTATGTGAAAGATTATTACCTACCGGTGTTTAATGCTGAAAAACCAGAAAACAAATCTGATGTGGAATGGACTTTTTTACATCGACAGGTGTGTGGGTATATCAGGCAGTGGGTAGATGATAATGTTTTGAACCATATTAGTAGAGAGACAAATACACGTTCTCTATGGAGTAAGCTTGAATAACTATATGCTAGAAAGATTGAAAATAATAAATTGTTTTTAATTAAACAGATGATGGCTTTGAGATACCAGGACGGGACTCCTTTATCTGATCACCTGAATACATTCCAAGGAATTAGTAATCAGTTGGCTGGAATAGGTATTAAGTTTGATGATGAGATACAAGGGTTATGGTTACTTGGTTCATTACCGGACTCGTGGGAGACTCTCAGAACTTCATTGTCTAACTCCGCTCCAAAAGGTGTAATCACAATGGATATGGCCAAGAGTTGTTTGCTAAATGAAGAGATGAGAAAAAAAACACAGGGATCCTCTTCACAGTCAGAGATCTTGGTTACAGAAAAGAGGGGGAGAAGTAAGAGCAAAGGTTCGAAGAACAGAGATAACAGCAGAAGCAAGTTCAACAAGTTTGCAAATGTTGAGTGTCATCATTGCGGGAAAAAGGGACACATCAAGAAATATTGCAGGCAATTGAAGAAAGAAAATAAGAATGAGAAAGGGAAGGGAACTAAGAATGGAGATGACAAAGATGGTGATGACAGAGTTGCTACCACCACTCCTGCAGACTTCCTCATTGTTTATGATGATGAGACAATAAATGTTTCATACCATGAGACCAGTTGGGTGATTGACAGTGGTGCCTCAATTCATGCTACATCTCGGAAGGATTTCTTTACATCTTATAAATCTGGTGATTTTAGAACAGTAAAGATGGGCAACGATGGCTTGGTTAAAGTCATTAGAATTGGGGATGTGTATCTGAAGACGAATAATAGCACGAAGTTAGTTCTTAGAGATGTGAAGCATGTTCCTGACATTCGTTTGAATTTGATTTCTGCAGGTAAACTTGATGATGAAAGGTATTATAGCACTTTCAGTGATGGTCAGTGTAAGCTCACTAGGGGTGCTATGGTTGTGGCTCGAGGCATAAAACACTCTGCATTATACGTTCTGCAAGCAAAGATCTCCAACGACATTGTTAATGCGATGGAGAATAGTGATACAACAGAGTTGTGGCACAAGAGACTGGCTCATATGAGTGAGAAAGGATTAGCTCTACTAAGGAAGAAAAGTCTACTATGTGGACTGAAAAGTACACTTCTGAAAAGGTGTACTTATTGTTTGTCTGGGAAGCAGAGCATAGTCTCCTTCAAGAATTCCCCTCATTCGAGAAAGTCAGAGATACTAAATTTGGTACATTCAGATGTGTGTGGCCCTATGAAAACAAGAACACTTGGTGGCTCCATATACTTTGTGACCTTCATAGATGATCATTCAAGGAAGTTGTGGGTATATACCTTGAATTCAAAAGACCAAGTGTTAGCAATGTTCAAGCAATTCCAAGTCCTAGTTGAGAGACAGATTGGGAAGAAACTGAGATGCATTCGTACTGATAACGGCAGAGAGTATTCTGGTCCTTTTGATGAGTATTGTAGACAACAGGGTATCCGGCATCAAAAGACAACTCTAAAAACTCCTCAGTTGAATAGCGTAGCAGAAAGGATAAACATGACACTGGTTGAGAGAGTGAGATGTTTGCTTTCACAAGCCCAGTTGCCAAAATCTTTTTGGGGGGAGGCATTGAGCACAGTTATTCATGTGTTGAATCTTACACCTTGTGTTCCTCTACAGTTTGATGTACCAGACCGAGTTTGGATAGGTAAGGATGTATCCTATAATTATTTGCAGGTTTTTGGGTGCAAAACATTTGTGCATATTCTAAAAGATGAAAGGTCCAAACTTGATGTGAAAACGCGACAGTGTATATTCCTTGGCTATGGCCAAGATGAGTTTGGGTATAAGCTTTATGATCCAGTTGAGAAGAAAATTATGAGAAGCAGAGATGTCGTGTTTGTAGAAGATCAGACGATTCAGGATATTGAGAAAGCAGGGAAATCTATGTCTCAACAAGGTGATATATTGACTGATATGGATCCAACTCCTCTGAAGAATCTGCCATCTCAGGTTGAGAATGATGGTCAAGATGACCACCAGTGTATAGGTGATGTGGATGTTCCCTTACAGGTTCAGGGAGATGTTGAGACTGATGAGCAGTTGACAACGCCAGAGATTCCACCAGTGATTCCATCCAGAAAGTCTGCCAGAGACCAACGTCCTTCCACTCGGTATTCAGCAGAGCAGTATATGTTATTGACTGACAGGGGAAAGCCCCAGTGTTTTGCAGAAGCCATAGAAGATGAACAAAAGACAGAGTGGGTTGAGGCCATACAAGATGAGATGCAGTCATTGCATGATAACCACACCTTTGAGTTAGTGAAGCTACCTAAAGGAAAAAGAGTTTTGGAAAACAAGTGGATTTACAAGAAGAAGCAAAATGAGTTATCTTCATGGCCACGGTACAAAGCTAGATTCGTTGTCAAAGGGTTCGGTCAGAGAAAAGGTATTGACTTTGATGAGATCTTCTCTC